GGGGGGTCCTCGCAGCTCTGTTGAGTGCCTGGCCTGTGCTGAGGGTGGAGCAGGCCCTGCACTCAGACCCTGCATCTGGCTGTGTGTTCTGGCCTGGCCACCAGGCAGCCTGGGTCTTACAGGCCCTGCAGGGGCCCAGCTGCAGGGCACATGGGTGCCAACCTGGGCCACCGATCTGACAGCTCTGTCTCACTGTGTCTCACGGGCTGCCGTGGCCACAGACAGGACCAGTCACAAGGCTCCCTGTCCTTTCTCTCCCGACAGTGCAGGAAGCGGGCGTGCAGCCCCCATGCAGGGTGAGCCACCCGGACCCCCACTACCCTGGCTACCAGGACAACTGTCAAATGGCACCCTTCCCGGAGGCCGCCCTGCCCACGTCTCACCCCAAGATCGGTACGTGTGAGGGAGGGGCTTCTGAGGAAAGTAGGCTCTTTCCCGGGATGCACTAGGTAAGGAGCCGGCAAGATGCAGCGCCTGCCTGTGGGACCCTTAAGCTTTATGGGCACACAGCGCCTGGCTTGCTGACAAGCTGTGTGCCATGCAGGAGTGTCTGCCCCTAGGGCCACAGCTTTCGCTCTCAGAGCCTTGATGCTTCCTGTTGCCCACGGGTGGCGGGGCCTTGACACCTTAGTAGCGAGGGCCCAAGTGCTGTCTGTTCCCTGCAAGATTATTGGCAGGAGAGCAGAGAGCGAGAGACCCTGGTGCAGACACACCTGTCTGTGTCTGTGATTTGATGCCACATCTTATAAACTGCTCTGGGGGGTCTGCCAGCCACCACGGGCGAGTCCGTTCCCTGGCGTCCCGAGCAGATGCGGGCAGACCCAGAACGCAGTGCCCTGCCCTGCCCTTTGGCCTGGGGGCCTCGTCCACAGCCTGTCGCTTCATGATCTCTTCTGGGGGTGCACCTGTTCTTTTCCCTCTTCCTCCAGGCTCAATGGCCCCATGTCAGGGTGTCACTCCCTGTTAGCGGGGAGCGCTGCTGCTTGGGGGTGGGGCCCTACTGCGCTTGTCCATTCACCTGGGATGGACCCCTGTTGCCTTCCCACGGCCCTCTGTGTCGGGTCACAGACCAGAGTCTGTCTCCTGCTGCCCCTGCTCTCTGACTCTGTGCATGCTCCACTACTCATTTGGTGGGAGACGTACGAAGACTGGGGAGAAGAGCCGTGCCAAGTCCTGTCTCCTTACTGCAGTGCGTAAAAGACCGCA